AATGGAATCAGTTGGGTAACTGGAAATGAATTCTAACTGGAACCAATTGGGTAACTGGAAATGACTTCTAACTGGAAATGAATGCTAACTGGAACCAGTTGGGTAACTGGAAATGACTTCTAACTGGAACCAGTTGGGTAACTGGAAATGACTTCTAACTGGAAATGAATGCTAACTGGAACCAGTTGGCCACTGGAAATGAATTCTAACTGGAACCAATTGAGTAACAGGAAAATCATCTTAATGTTTCCAGTTGAACTTTTAACTGGAACCAGTTGGGTAACTGGAAATGACTTCTAACTGGAACCAATTGAGTAACTGGAAAAATTACCTTACTGGTTCCAGTTGCACTTCTTATTGGTTTGAACTGGAAATGAGTACCCATAACAATATTTTCCAGTTCGGCAATTGGTTTCAACTGGAAATTTTCTATTCCAATTGAAACCAATTGAAACCAATTGAAACCAGTTGAAACCAATTGAAACCAGTTGGAGATTTCAACTGGTTTCAATTGGATTTTGGTCCTGGGTAGGTAGCTTCTAGCTCTTCGACAGTGTCAACAATTCTGGCAAGTAGCAGCCTTTCAAGTAGCTTGTAGATGTGTGATAGCAGGCTGATTGGACGGTAACTCTTGGGTTCGTCTGCAGGCTTTTTCAGCTTCAGAATGGCAATAACTTTAGCGGTCTTCCATTTTGATGGAATAGTGAATGTTATCATGCAGGTAGAGAGAAAGGCTTGTAGCCAGGAAGTAGCTTTGCGACTCATGTTCTTGAGGAACTCTGTGTGGATGTTATCGTTGCCTGGTGCTTTGCCGGACTTTATTGATTTCAGTGCAGTTTCAACCTCATCCAAGGTGAAAGCTTCAGACATGGAGGTTGACTCTGGAGTGGATTTGAGGAGGTTCTTTATCTCAGAGTTAACCGAGCGAGAATGGACTTTGGCCTCAGTGGATTTACCTTGCCACTTTCCATTATAACTAGGACTGAAGCGATGGAGTTTGCAGTAACAGGACACTGTTTTGGAGCGTTGCTTCGACCTGTGAGTTTGTTGATGGTAGTCCAGGCCTTGCGACTAGAGTGAGTGAAGTTGATCTCAGAGACTTCTTCTTCCCATCTAATCTTCCTCTTTTCTCCTAGTGATATCAGCAGGTCGTTCCCTACAGCTTCTCTATCTTCAATGGTCTTGGACTTGGTGTAGGATTCGTACAGACGGTCGCATTCTTCGTCCCAGCATGGAATATACGGGTGTCTCCTGCCCCTGGGGATGGAGAGTTTTGCCGCCTGATGTAACATGGAGCAGAAAGCAGAGTAGGAGTCATTCACATTGCTGGTGGAGGGGTCTGGCAGCCGAGATGTTAGCTTAATTGTTTGTGAGTTCCTGGAACTTGGGCCAGTCAGCTTTTCTGAAATTCCATCTCTTCTTTGGTAGGTTGGAGAGTTGAAGCTTGATGTCGCTTGAGATGATGATTGGACAGTGGCCAGACCTCGGGAACTTTGGAAGGACAGTTCTTGAGCAGGTGTGTCTGATGTTTGATGAAACCAGTGACAGGTCGGGGCAGGTCCATGATTTGTGGCTCCCTGAGTAGAATGTGGGGTTGTCCTTGCTGTTATACAGTATCACTAGCTCCTGGGATTCAAGCCATTCAAAAATGAGCTTTCCATTCTTGTTTGTGTTAGGGTATCCCCAGGCAGTGCTGCGACTGTTGAAATCTCCGCAGACAAAGGAGTTCCGGGGCATCTTTGGGAAGAGCATGATTTCAACATCTACCGGTGGTGGCTTGTACAGGTTGCAGAAGTGGGTTCCCATAGCTTCAAAGGTGCTCCACTGTAGAGCTGAGTTCGCAGGAGATCGCCCAGTGGTGGATGCTTTAATGCCTTGTTTGACATAGGATGCAATACCATGCTTCTTGTGTGGTATGAAGCAGATCAGATCAAAACCTTCGATGTGAAGCTGTTCTTCTGTCTCACAGTGTGTTTCTTGGAGACAGATAACATTGACACAATTTTCCTTTGCAATATGGGGAATCAGATCTCGCTTTGAGCGGGTAAGGCCTTCAGCGTTGAGTTGGAGTACACAGGTGGAGGTGTCAGCCATCATCTTGATGGCTTGTCCTGAAAAGGACACGTGCTTCCAGGAACTGCGTAGGGAGCTCTTCTGATGATAGAGGGCTAGAGATGTACTGGCGATAAGATCGCGAGATAGACTTCAAAAGTGTTGCTTTAGTTGACAGATGTCGTTTTAGTTGGCAAGTGTCGTAACAGGGACTCCATATGTGTAGGCAGCAACATGACCCCAAATATTTAGTGGAGCCTAAGCAAAACTTTGTTGGTTTACAAAGAATGTAAACAAAAACATAACCATACTAGAAGTTTATCAAAGTATGCTCAGAAAAAAAAAGAATAAATGTTTACTTTTGGAAGGATTAGGTAATTTGTGACAATGTAGTATATGGATAATTCCATGGAAGTTAATTTGATGTGAATTGTTGTGGAAGTCAAAGTGGTAATCTTCCCATAAATCTGCCCATTTCCAATAACCATATATAGTAACTTCTCTAACTAGAATTGAGAGCAACTTTCTTCAATGCACAATACAGCATATAGGTTAATTCATTCTTTCATTACTGTCAAAACTACATGAGCAAGATTTGCTTATAAATATAACCAATATAAAACAATTCTCAAATGTAACAAGCCTGGATGTTACATAATCATTCCAAAAAAAAAAGACTCAATATACAAAATTAAAGATTCAATATACCTCCCAAGCATATCCGCTATCATATCCAGTCTCTAGGTCTACAATGTCTCCATCGTATGGACCAAACCGGTATCCTTTAGGAATGAACTTGGTAGCAAAGGTCCCCTGACCAGCCCCTGGTATTGATGACTGCTTGACCACTAGACCATCTGGTAGAGTATTCCTTGCTCTGTCTTTAGAGCCTTTAGGAACAAGGTTGTCCTTGATGATGGTAAGGGGGTGATTGGAGCACTCACCTTCAAAGACCTCATGACAATCTTCACAATCTGTAGGGGGAAAATGTTAATAGAAATTGATTAACTATTGAACATCATTGTCAATCGTGTTTGTTTCTTACAACCTGTTGTGTTTTCAAGGCTGCATGGAAGGAATTGTGTTCATTAGATGATTCACCCCTGATTACATATGATATATAAATGTTCATTATGCAGAACGAATTCAGTTTATTTCAAAGCTGATCCAATAAATTAGGTTTAGAGTAGTCTGTTTAATAAAGAAATGCTCTGAGAAATTCATACATTGTACATGGAGCTTCACAATAAGGCCTAACAAAAATATTTCCGACCAACAGACCCACGTTTAGGCACCTACAGGGCAATATAACATCTTTCTTTTTTTTTTAGGCCTAATTAACCTCATGAATTTGAAGAATTCTATGGAGAAAAAAAACGAAAAATATACAAATGACTAACAAAAACAAATGTGAAATAATTTTTTTTTTTAAATAATAAAGCCAAATTCTCTCTTGTGTTCACTTACAGATGTAGTGATCATCATCAGGAACATCATCTTCTTTGTAGGACTTCCGGCTCACTGCTCTCCTCGGGTATCTAGATTGTCTTGGGGATGGTTGGGGTTTCTCCTTTCTCCGGTCTGAAATAAAAAATATGGACAAAATGATTTAATTTATTCCCAGCTTGTTGTTAATTTTAGGTTGATACTTTTTTACCTGCCAGACCTGGTATGAATTTCATGTAAATGTATTTTTACAACGTTTCCCTCAGTTTTATCCAGTTTCCTAAATCTTCAATTTTCATTGCACAGCCATCAAACTGATGGAAATACACGTTTCTGTTTTCAGGACTGACACAGAGAATTATAACAGGACGGGGGAAACAACTAGAGACTACAGTTTTAACCAGTACCTCGAAAATAAGGCAGGGTATATTTGTTTCATATCTTACATCAAAAATTGATGATCAAGCAAAATAAGTCACCTTTATATTTGCTTCTGCCTGTTTAACAAACAATGTTTCAAACATATTTACATTATTTAATGTTACATTCATCTACAACAGCCTGGTCTACCCCAGTCATTTTGACGAGCAGGAAAATATATTTTTTCACTATTTTTCATATATTTTTTCGCTATTTCTTGATTTATTGATGTAGTTTTTGGCTATTTTCTTAAAAAATAGTAAAAAAACTACACTATTTTTTGTATATTTTTTCCATTTTCCCCGACGAGGTGGCTATTTTTTGACTATTTTCATTAAAAAATAGTGAAAAAATAAACTGTTTTTTAGCTATTTCTATTTTTACACTATTTTCCCCAATTGTGTCTCTTTTTTATGCACTATTTTTAAACTATTTTTTCGTCTTTAAAAGTTATTCACTATTTTCCTGCTATTTTTTGCACTTATCATATCATGTAAGCCTATTTTTGTACTATTTTCTTTGTATTTTAAAAGTATTTCACTATTTTCCTGCTATTTTTTGCACTTAACATATTACATGTTAACTTATTTTATACTATTTTGTTCGTCTTTCAAAGTTTGTGCCTATTTTCCTGCTATTTTTTGCACTTGACAACATATGTTTACCTATTTTATACTATTTTTTCGTCTTTAAAAGTTATTCACTATTTTCTTGCTATTTTTTGCACTTAACATGTTCATCTATTTTTTCGTCTTCAAAAGTTAATCACTATTTTCCTGCTATTTTTTGCACTTGACAACATATGTTTACCTATTTTATACTATTTTTTCGTCTTTAAAAGTTATTCACTATTTTCTTGCTATTTTTTGCACTTAACATGTTCATCTATTTTTTCGTCTTCAAAAGTTAATCACTATTTTCCTGCTATTTTTTGCACTTACAGCAGAAAAAATGTTGACCTATTTTATACTATTTTTTGGTCTTCAAAAGTTAATCACTAGTTTCCTGCTATTTTTTGCACTTATTTTGGACTAATCAAATTATGTTTTTTGTTTTTCTGCTTATATTTTTCAACCATTGAGTGTGTTACTCCATTCCAATTATAACTGGCTCCAGTAAGGCTTTCGTTGAGAAATGGGAAAAATAATCAAAAGCAAATTTATTTCTCATATCAAAACAATTTGTAGCTCAGTTGGTTAAGTATCTGGACATGTTTCGCAGGCGGTCGAGAAGAACATTTTTGTTACAAATTTATGTAAGTCAAGGCTCTCGGTTCTTATTTTTTAAAGAACAGGGAGCCGTTTTTTTCCAGGACCAGCAGCCATTCCCAAAATTAATGAAAATACGTATTCTTTTCAATTATTTGTTAACTGTTATCTTTTATTTACTCATTGGTCTATCAGTATACTAAAAAGTAAACACTGCACAGCAGTGGTAGCACAGTACTCTCTGCCAAGGCATTGTTATACATAAAAATGAGCAAGAACTTAGAATAGAGATATAAGAACCTTTAACAAAAATTCCATGGCCACTATAATATAAGCGACTATGAATACGGCACTTTTAGTAAAACTACTTTATAGTCGTTACAGGGTGAGAATCCTGATTTAGCCACAGAGTTGAAAGAATCCTAAACATTGCCCCTACTGCCAGCCCTAGTCATCATTCCATGTGATAATATAAATTTTCAAAATATCAATTAATGTACATTATCATCACCAATTCACAATGTTTACTAAAAATGTGAGTATGTATACAACATTGAATCATTAATGATTATGTGACATCACTAACATGGAAAAAAATATGATAATTACATAACTTTCCTTTCACAAGGCTAAAATGTAATAGAAAACTCTTGTTACATTACTCTCATTTTTGTTTTAAAGTAACATATGCTGGTTGACAACATTTATTTCTCAATTGTGTAAAGACAGAAGGGCAGTCTGCCCAAAAGTGATGGTACGATAGAAGAGGCTGCAGTGTCAACACTCAACAGAATTACAGAAGCAGAACTATTGACAAGCCTTCACTATGCTGCTAGCAATTTGAATTAAAGTTACCTAACAAATTCATAACAGTGACTGTCGAGAGTATGCTTCATGGCAAACGTCCCGCCAGACTGATAAGTTTAATGTGCAACAAATACATCATTTAACCTGACATCCATCCACACGCATACCTCTACAATCTTCAATATATTGATGACACAGGTTTCTTCTCTCTCTTTCTTTACCAATGGAATATTAGGATTATTTGCACCAGTAAACTGATCAGTACAGAGGAGTGTATTGCTCAGGGCAAATTTGGAAATAACAGTATGGTAGTATGCTGTTTTGCAAACACAATGATCGACTTGATCGTTTATACAAAATACCTCATTATAAAATTCTGTAAAACATTTCAAAAAGTAATCAATGTCACCATAATTAATGCTAACATTTTACCTAAAACCAACGGTGCAACTGTTTCTTTTGATACCTGGCCTGTACTTCCGGGAGGTGATTAGTACGCCATTTAATTTCAATCTCAAAACATATATACATGTAACTGTTTTATCTTACGCCATGAATATTTGGCAAATTCACATCTTAATTTGAAAGCTTTAAAGTTAAACTACCAACAACAAAAATAGTAAAATACCATTCCTAATGGAATCATTTATCTGGAAGGATCTATACTCTGATGCATTCCAGAACTATTTTAGTGATACGTTTATCGACTTTGTCAATTGAATTAAATTAACATGCCTCTTTATAGTTTCATTCATCAAACATGATACATGACAACTGTTGATTCATCCTCCTTCTCATCACTATCAACATCCATTGCTCCGATATATGCAGATTGCTGCATAAAACTCCTTGACAGTTTCAAGGTAGGTGCGTGGTCCATGCATAGCAGTAGCTGCATGATTTTTCTCTTCAATGTTGATGGCTACTGCGTGCGAGCAAGAGCTTTTAATTAACATCCGTTTTGTACGCTGCTATGAATGCATCTTGTCTTGGAATCTTCTTAGAGAGAGCATGGAAGATGTCATCAATGCCCCCCCCCCCCCCTCGTCAAGGATTGCTGCCTTACAAAGGCGTTGTGATGGATGACGGCATACAACGGCTGGCCGTTAACCTGAATTTGGATAAAAAGTAAAATTTAAATCAAAATCAGCAAAATACAGCAAAAGCAATATCCTGGTCAGAATGAATTTAATTTTGGATTAAAATCAAAGCTGATTTTGACCAGTGTGTTCCATGTCATGTCGCGTTCTATATGGCGATTGTATAGTTAAAACAAGAGTACACATGCTAGATGTATGCCAATTCAACTATCGTAGCTGTACCTGGACATATGACCAACAAATGAAAGAAGGAATTTTGAAAGTAATTCTTTAAGAAATTCTTTACAGGTTTTTTTAGACAGAGTTATTTATTATTGCTTTTTCATAACTAATCTAGCAAAACATCATGCATTTCAAAACCATGCCAAATTTAAGCTGTAATAGCTAGCTAACAGCTCAGGTGAATGAAAACAAATGCAATATGGCTAGCAGTATTATTTTGAATTATGTCTAGTAAACCAGCAGTAGCACCATCAGCATCACAATGACTGCGCCAAATAGAAATTATATTTTTGACTAGGAGTAGGAAAAATGTCTCAATTTATGCTTTAAAAGGCTGCCGCTGACTATGGTTGATTCTTAGACTAATGAATGATTATATTAGATCATTTCATTGCCCCTAACATATATCTTATCTCTTAGTCTTACGTCTTATTAATTAATAATCAAATCAAGTTTTTTCTTCTTGATCAGTTTGCAAGTTTTTGTAGACTAGGTCTATTGATTCCAAAACAAACCTAATAATTCTTTATAAAGGGCCTTTTTCATCTTGACACGATTCAATGTGTTTTCAATACATAGATTGTACGATTGATGAAACAGAAATGAAATCAGATGAAACAAAAATGAAATCAGAGGAAACAAAATGAAATCGCAATCCTAACATCAAATTACACACATGGGACTGACTTGGGCACAAACGAACTTACCTTCAGTAGTGCACTGTTTCTCCGCTCTTTTGCTTTGGATTTCATCCATTCTTCATTTTTCTGTCTTTTCCTGGAGATATTTGATATATCAGCAATAAGCTCATTAAAGTCTTTCATCCATGATGAAAACGCCAGAAAATGAGGTATTTCGAGACGCGAATAGTACAGACGAATCTAGGTGGATATCGTGCTCGTTGAGCCTATATTTTGGAACCGCATCCGCATCGCTGTAGGCTTCGGCTAGCTATATAGGCGCTCGCTATATATATAGGCTATGCGCGCGCGCAATACAGAGATCGTACGTACGTTGAATTTGAACGCAAAGACGTTTAGATTGAACGTTCTCATCTAAAAAATCTAGAGATTAATCATTTGATTAGTTGCAGTTAAAAAAAAAAATATCGCTCATTGTGTTAAAAAAAATAAAATCGGTATAAAACTTTTAAAATATCGGCATTTTTTCCCGAAAATACAAGAAACAAATACTTATCCGTGGTTGTATGTAAGTGTTGATGAACAACGCATGCGCCGTATTACCATAACATTAACGGTACAGCTAGCGGGAAGTTCAACTAATGAGTTACGAAATCCTCATCAAATCATCCGAAGTCATGTTTTCCCCAAGAGAAGCGATTGATTATATGTGATTAATGCCTTCCAGTACTGCAGTAGATTCTGATGATATTCCCGTGAACCAATCGCGAGCAAGCAAGAAACCAGCCAGATACAGCGATGATAAATTGAAGGTGAGTGCTCTGAGTCAGTGAGTGAGTACCGTAGTGCATGCCGAGTGTATGATTCTGAGACGACCGTTGGTTGGCCGTTACGCAATATAGGCCTACTGACTGAGTATTTTAAATCTAGAATTCTAGAATCTACGCTAAAAGTTGTTAGATGTGAAATCCATGGATACAGGTTCTAAAAATAAACCTAGGGATGATATTTACTTTGAAATTGGGTGAGAAGATATTGCTGCATTTCATTCCGAAAAAACAGGAAGAAGCTGATTTGACAACAGAAATCCCCATTTTTAATTTTAATTTTTAATTTTAGAGTTGATGTTTATCAAATTTATAATTAAAATATGTTTTGTTGATATCATTGATCATCACTCTACGTACGTCATAATCGTATCACTCGGTTACTTATAAAAAAGTGTTAGGGCCTATCATCAGCATGATCAGTATCAACATGATCAATAAATAAAAAATAATCGATCAGTCTGACTTTTTTAATTTTTAGTTGTCTAACTTTTATTTTAGACTTTTTTAATTACAGTTTCAGACCATCTAGTCTAAAGGCCCTACTGTTACTTATTAATAGGCCTATATAGTAGTTCCCGTTCATCTATTTTGTAAAATAATTTTTATCATTTCTAGATAACCCTAGATCTAGAGTCTATTCTAAATCTATTCTAAAAATCTAAGTTAATCTAAGGTCTAATTTTTTGTTTTCTTTTCTAGAATATGCATGCACTCGTCGTGTTTACAGTCACACTGGATAAGTTGAAGAGCTAGTATAGAGGTTGGTTTTGAGCATCAAAATTTGGACGGTGGCCGGAGGATGAGGATCGATGGATGGGAGGCCTACGATGAGGCTAACAAGAAGTGGTAGCTTGGCCTAAGCTTGAAATGACCCGTAAGTTATAGATTTGTATGCCTCCGCCCACCAAAGGTGGGTGCCGGAGGCAATAATGGCCCAAATTCACAAAGGATGTTTAAATTTAACCCATGGTTTAAACCCTCATTTACATAATCCATGGTTTAAAATTATCGGTTATCCTATACTTTAGGGTGTTTTATTATTTTCGGTTCCTAACTTCAGTCAACAGCTCTACATGGCCATGGGGTCGGGCTAACTCGGACCAGGGGACAACTCGGCCCAGGTCCAAAAACGGTCAGTTTTTGCATGTTTAGGTTTAGGGTTAGGTTTAGGGTTAGGGTTAGAGCTAGGGTAAAATTAAAAAAAATGACCGTTTTTGTTAGCCCGACTCCATGTAGAGCTGTTGACTGAAGTTAGGAACCGAAAATAATAAAACACCCTAAAGTATAGGATAACCAAATTATCGCAATTTAAGCGTAGACTTGCGTGCGTCTAATAAATGGACCTCCGACTGTGTCGCGCTTATTTTGGGCTAAATTTAGACAATGTGTCATGTAAATGAAGATGTAAACCATGGGTTAAAATCAAACCTCCTTGTGTCTTTGTGAATTATTCGGGCCATTTTGTTTCGGGTTGCTGCATGCATGTCTGTCCGTCCGTCGTGTTTTCATTGTTGCAATATATTAAGAAGCAATTGACGGATCGAATTCAAACCTGGCTCATGTATGTATTTATATCATGGGAGTGACGATGATCTGATTAGATTTGAGGTTGCAAGGTCAAAGGTCATTGTATACATTAGAATAGAATGGTTCTTGCAATAACTTGGGAACCATTTGACAGATCAATTTAAAACTTGGCTCATGTATGCGTTTGCAAGTGACGATCTAATTAGATTTTGTGTTCAAGAGGTCAAAAGTCACAGAGGTATTTTTTTAAAGTCCTCATTCTTTCATGAAATTTCAATTTCACTTCTCAAATTCAAACTTGACACAAATACTATAATACAAATAATAGGCCTACATGTATGATCAATGATAAGTAAAACATAATTCCAAATGATTTAATTATATTTTTTATATATCATTGATAATGATATGTATGTCATATCAGTTATCACATTCATCTTTAGTATCCCATTCATGCATGCCTGTTTTCCAGGATATATTTTCTAAAATGATTTAAATCATATATATTTTGTTTTCTTTTCTAGAATATGCACTCTTCGTGTTCAGTCACACTGGATAATGTGAAGAGGGTGGTTTTGAGCAGCAAGGTTCGGCAGGTGGCAGGAGGATGAAGATCGATGGATAGGAGGCGTACGATGAGGCTACAAAGAAGTGGTACTCTGTTGCCTTGCTTGAAAGGACCCGTAAGTTGTAGATTTTTTAATGTTGAATAATCGCCTATGTTGAAAATAAAACTCTTCTCCAGACTTAATTGCGACTTTAACTTAGTTTGCATGTCATCTAACAGGCCTTAAATTTCAATATTTTTAGGGCAATTATAAGGCCACTTTTCTGTGGGGCACATTCCTATATTACAGCACAAATAGGAATAATTGGAAAGGGCACAAAAAATCTCCAAGGCCAATGAGAGGGGCATTGAGGCCAATCAAAAGGGCACCCACGGCCATCGCCTTGGTGGCCTTGGATTAATTTAAGCCCTGATCTAAGTCTTTCACATGACTCTGTTACCTGTCAAGAAGCTCTTCTTTTATGACTTTTTTTTATGGGCAGCATCCAGAGAACTACTATCATTCTATTTCTGAGCATCGTGTTGTTTGAGCCAACAGTAACATGTCATGCTGCTCTTGGCAATTCTGATAAGCATCACTAATAATTCTTAATATTTTTGTTCTGTTTATGTTTATATCTTTCAGCAATTCATTGCGAGAAGATCGAAGGGGGCCGGACACAAATCAGCTGAATTTTGGCAGGCTCTGAGAGTAAAGATGGAGGGAATCAAATATAAGGCTAAAAACGTGTTAATCTTCTTCAGAATACACAAAGTAGATTACGACTAAACTTGGCAGGAGTCATCCCTTAAAACTAAGTAAGGGGATCTTAATTTGTTCAAGTGGGGGGGGGGGGGGGGGGGGGGGGGGGTGCACCAGGGGGGCCCAGAAAAACAAAAAAGCCAAATCAACATTGTCTTCTTGAAAAAGCATAATTGTGTGGGAACAGTATCTCAATTTACTGAAAAAAATTACCAAAGTGCCCAGCTTGCATGCTCAGGTAAGCACAAGACTCACAGGTCTCTAGTCTATTACTTTTTTGCTTTTCATCTTTAAGTGTTTGTGTATTGGAGGGGGGGGGGGGGTAAAGTATAGTGTCCATCAATGTTATTTATTGTTTTTGTTTATCAACTGCCAAACAATAGCTGCCTTCTGCATCAGTGTGTTAATAGGTGTACTTTTCATATGTTTAATTATATTCAGGGCAAATATTAACCTTGCCTTTCAGTAGCCATATTACTTGTATAGTGATGCATCGATATATGCACAATATTGGATTTTTGTTGTTGTATGTGCCAAACAGGTTGGCGGAATGTCATGTTTGGTATTTATGATACATTTTTATGTATATTTATTTAATTTAACAGAAACCTATCTATCACATACAGTCAACTCTCAGCTGCCTAAGTCGAATTTGCATAAGATGAATGCAGGCCTAAGTCAAAGGTGTTATGTTAGTCTTTTCTTTTTATTTTCCATTGTTTTGACCTTGCATTAGTCGGATCTGGACACTTTTAACGTAAAAAGAATATTTGTATACCACTGTTTTTAGAATTCTTACCCAAGATTCCAGCATTAGTACTAATTGGTACCAGCGGTGACTGATTTCATAACCCACTGATTGAGCCCATGAAAATTATACAAATTTCATTTATCTATGCGCCCAATACTTTGTGGTCTAATAATTATTTTCCTGGCTGTATTACTGTAACTATTATTTGCCGAAGATAAACCGTTTCTTTTTTTATATGAACTATGTGCTACAATTCCCTTGCCTTCAGTTTATTAGGATGCACATTTTTTTTCTACATTTTCCTTTTTTAATTTTTGTATACCGGTATATATATATTTTTTTAATATATTTTTTATATCGAGGATAAAACAATATCTCGACATCAGCCAAATTTTCAGGCATCTTCTTGTGTAGGGTCCATGCTTTTTCCATGATCAGCTGTACAAATTCATTGATGTATATACCATTAAATTCATGTTCCCAGATCGTACACTTAAATATTTTAATAATTTCTTTCAATTCTTGTTTTTTCTATAAATTCCACTAATCTGAAATGTGTGTGTATTTTCAGCTCTTTTTTAGGGTTGATGTGATTGTGAGAGGGTTATAGGTGATGATATAGAGGGTGTATTGTGATGGTGACTGCAGTGTGCCACAACTGTTACAAGACATTTGAAAAATATGTACGTATTTTGTTTATTTCTATTTTAAGCGGATCCCATAACATCTAAGCTGGATATATTTTTAAGATATTTTTTTTCTATTTCCCATATATTTTCTTCCTATTTTCTTGCTAATTTTGGGGGTAACAAAATAGTGAGAAAATATATTTTTCATATATTTTTATACAGGTTTAGACTTTTATTTCGTATATTTTCTGTATATTTTACTATTTCTTCGCTATTTTTGAAGCGTTCCAAAACATATAGGCTAAAAATATATTTTTTTGCTATTTTTTTCCCTATTTTTAATCTATTTCTGTACTATTTTCCATCTATTTTTTTAGAGAGAAGAAATAGTGAGAAAATATATTTTTCATATATTTTTTCTACAGTTTTGACAAATTTATTTCATATATTTTCTGTATATTTTTCTATTTTTACGCTATTTTTAAAGCGTTCCAAAACTGTGGCCTAAAAATATATTTTTTTGCTATTTTTTCTTCTATTTTTAATCTATTTCTGGACTATTTTCCATCTATTTTGGGGGAGAAGAAATAGTGAGAAAATATATTTTCTTGGTCTATTTTTCATATATTTTTTATATAGTTTTAGACTATTTTATTTCGACTGGGGTATTATTGTTCTAACTATTGTTTGAATTATTAGACTGAAGGTTCCGTAGAGTATACACCAGCTTGCTTACATTATATTTCATCACCTGATGAAGTGTTACAGTGGCGCACAAAACGTCGTGATCTTATAGATCCCTTGTTGACCATACATTGCGAGACAAACAAATATCAGTAGCGATATTATTTTCAAAACCTTAAAATAGTTGAAATATTCTGGTCACATGAAGAGCTCTTGGCCAATCAAAAACCAATACATTTGTTATGTACGATATGATAATAAATATTATGTACTAAATCACCCTATCTAGCTTTCATTCAAATGGAAAAGAAAAATAAATATAATGCACAAGGAAACGAAAATAAAATTTGGAAGAAGTAGTTAATATTTTCTTACCAGACAGAGACTTTGCCTTTCCACCAACTTTCATACAGAATGATCGGGATTGCTTGGGAGTCTGGTCGCCTCCGTAGCTACTCCTGTCAATGTTTGCTCAGTCTTCTGGTCACCCGACTGAGTAATGGGATCACATGACTGAGTCCCCTGATCACCTGATGAAGCTGTTGGATTGGTTTGTGGTTGAGTGGGTTCGTCATAGTCCTTCCATTCAAGGAGATCAATGATTCGCTCGCCCCCTATATGATGAGCATCATTGAGTGGATTGCCGTCATCATCATACACAGTCCCTGATGTTACAGTGTGCTAAATGAAAAGAAACAGAATATGAATGTGTTGATGTACTCCTCTGGCTTTTTTTCAAGGGGGGGGGGGGGGGGGGGGGGGGGGTTTAAAATCGGGTCCAAAATTTCGCAACGACTCAGGAAAATGGCCAAAAAGTCGCTCAGTGGGGGGGGGGGGGGGGGGGGGGGGGGGGGGGTGGCGAACACTTTTTTTTTTTTTTTTAGGGAGTCCAAAAAAAAAATCGCAACGACTCAGCAGCCGGAAAGTCGCTCAGTGGGGGGGGGGGGGGGGGGTTTAGAGGACACTTTTTTTTTTTTTGGTCTCGAAATTTAAAAATTTGACATTTTACTTCGCTGGGGGGGGGGGGGGGGGGGTAAGGTCACCTTTCTTAGGTCAGCCATGGGGATCATTTTTTTTTTTTTTTTTTTATAATTAAAAAAAAAACAAACAAACAAAACCAAAGGGGGGGGGGGGGTTTAGATTTTTTTTTAGGGGGTTTACACACAATCAAATACCAAAGGGGGGGGGGGTTTTAGATTTTTTTTAGGGGGGTTTACACACATTCAAATACCAAAGGGGGGGGGGTTTAACCCCCCAAAACACCCCCCCCCCCCCACCCCCCCCCCCCCCCCTGCGTACGCGCCGCCTCTGGCAGTCACGCTTATCATCTCTCTTTCCTCTTCCTTAATCTCTTTATTTCCTATTTCCTATTATTTTTAATTTCCTACAATGTAATTTTTCAACTAAGTAATACAATGATATGGTCTTCTTCTTCCATGAGGCAGTATAAAACGTCAGGGGGAAAAGTATTGGGATTTTTTCTTTTTTTCTTTTACTATTTTCGTATGGTACACATCTTTGTATTCTATGACAGAACTCTTTAAGGTACTATGTCCCTTTTGCAGCCACCTCAAATTCTGTAGAACTTTGCAGGAATTATGAATATGTCATGAATGTCCTATCTGTGAAATTTAAACGTTAGCAGTGTCCTCATTATTCAAATTATGCATGGAAACCCGTTTTACTTGCTAGACTTCACTGTCAGACACTATTGAGTGACTAACTGGCTCTTTCTTCTTTGGTAATAACATAAATGAAAAGGGTTGTAAAGGGTACATGAGCATTTGTCTACATCAATAAACCCACTTCTTGTGATGGCCAAGATTAAACTGATTGAATCTTTGCGCAGCATAAAACGTATGACCATTTGGTACAATTGTCTGAAAATCAAGACTATTACTTTTGGGCTCTATAGCCCTAAAGTCGATTGACAACTAATAGTCGTTATTTCCCACTTGAAGACATTTTCAAGTCCCACCTTTTTTAGGGAAGTTCTAAATTAGTATTATCTTTCAAATGCAGTTGGAATTTAACTTTTTCATTTTTTGGCCTGCAAATGGGACATAGTACCTTTAAATGAGGAATATCATGATTACATAAAATCAAAATGGTGACTTTAAAATGGTGACTTTGAAATGGTGACTTTAACATCTGCGCAGTGATGGGCGGGAATAAACATCTGATTGATTAGATAATATTTACATGTACAAGAACTTACATGTATGCATATACTTACTGGTTTAGGTTCAGGCTGTTTCTTTGTGAAAACTGGTTTGTTTGATTTGAATACAGGGGCCTTGAAAGGTGCGCTAAAAGATCCTGTTTGAATAGTAAAGATATAGTAATTTGGGGAAAGTGGAGAGAAAAAAAAATGCAGATTTTTTTTTATCAGTAATTACACATCTTTAGTAGGTCTATAGCAAATCACAAAACACCTTTCAAAAGGTTAGAACTATCCCACGTTGGTGTTTAAAGGATAATAAAATGCTATCAAAATATTCTATTTGAGCAGTAAAGATAGACTAAATACAGAAAGTACACAAAATAAAAGGAAAGATCACTGTTTCATTACTAGTTACATATCTTCATTAGATGTAGCTAAGTAAAATACACATAAGAAAGGTAACACTTTTTGGATTATAAAGTATATTAAGCGTACCTGTTTCAATATACATTGTACAGTATGTAGCAGAAAAAAACAACTAATTAAATCAATAGTAAGAAGAAAAAAAATTGTGTCATCAATAGACTTAAATTATATATCTTCATTAGATTAGCACTGTAAACAAAAACATTTTTTTAAAAGGCTAAAGCTATCAAAAAAGTTTTAAATGACATAAAAATATCTCATTTGATGTGTAAAGAACTAAGATAATATCAATATAATATAAAGTGAAGAAAATATACTATGCTTTATCAATGCATATTATACCTTCAGAACTTAGACAGCACAAACATCAAAAACATCTTTCAATACAATTTTATTTTAATGGCAAAGATGCATAAATTCAGGTAAACTGATAAAACAGAATATTTCATGTTCATACCTTCAGGAGAAAGCACAATATCACAACATTTAACTACATGTACATACAAGTTAAAATCTATTTCAATTTTTGGCAAAGTAGAGATGAAAGTCTTGTCTTCACTACCAATTCATCTCCATTTAAAACCTCAGTATTCAAACCTTTTTTTTTTGGGGGGGTGGGGGATTAATGACTGTTAAAGTAATAAATGCAGGTTGTGAAAAGATCCTGTTTGGAGAGTGGAGATCAAATATTTCTTTGAGCTGTTGCATTAGTAGTTCAACATCATCAGTAGATAACATGAGCCAGTAAACAGTCCGAGACTGATCTTCTGGCCCTAACATTCTGCTTCATTTCAAGCAAGAACATGTAAATGATTTAATCAGTGTAAAGTGAGTAATAGATAAATTAATGTTGAATTATCAGGATTAAGGCAATAATCCGTTCAAATATTTGTTCATCAAAAGGTACCTGTTTGAATTTTTCTTGGCCTTTTAGGGCTTACACTTCCTAATCTTTAGTATTACTCCTCTACAATCTTAAGAAATTCAGTTTGCAATTTAACAATGTGCAGAGTTTGTTTGAGAATAATTCAGACAGATAAATCGGTACAAACCTCTTGACCTTTTCTTGGCCCTCTTTGGCTTCCACTCCTCATCCTCACTATCACTCTCCTCTACAAGCTGTTTCTTTCTTCCACGATGAGGTCGCATGAAATCTGGGGGATAACCTTTAGTCCTGTGTACACAATGAAAATCAAATAAAATGACACCACTGTTAATATGCAAATTATATAATCAAACTTTTCTCTCCTATTATTAGGGGTAGGGGGTATTGGAGGGGGAAATCAATGTCAGTTATTAAATGCAGCATTTAGACTTTCTTTACGTTCTTTGCACAAACTGTACATTATATTTTTGAATTGCACGTTGAGTTCAAGAGACAATTCATGTTTTGCTTTTTCTTTCTTGATATGAAACCTGTTTTACGAAAAGACTCCTTTATTTAACTTGCCATTCATGAATCCATGTAAAATTTTCAGAAGAAAATAACAAATTTTCTTTTGCCATTAAACATCATATCCACCGTATCCTATGCATACAAAAATATAACCAAATATTAAAACAAAATGTTTAAACAAGTCTTTCTTAGACTTGTTACAGTTGAACATGTACAAACAAAGGTAGACATCCCTACATCATACATCATAAGACTAGAGTTGTTTATTTAAGTAAGATTTGAAGGTAACATAATTAATGTTACTCACCAACTTCAATCATCATCTCATAATTTTCTTTGATGTTCTTGAGACGAAGTTTCTCATAGTCACTGATCTCTGCCCATTCCTTGGCTGTGAAGTAAGCCTGGACGGCTGAATAATATCATCAGTTGCTGGTAACGGCATGATGGCAAATACTGAAATAGGGCGTTACCTGAGGGAAAGAAAGGAAAATGCCAGTTAGAATATATTACATGTAGATCTATTTTAATATTTTTACATTTTTAATATTTTTCCTTTTTTAATATTTTTCCTTTTTTAATATTTACCTTTTTAATATTTTTCCTTTTCTAACATTTTGGCCCCCCTCTTTTAAATTTATCTTTTAGGTCTAGTTTATTTTTTTTTGGGCCCCCCCCCTCCCCTCTCTCTTTAAATTTATCTTTAAGTTCTAGACATATTTTTCCTTTTTTTCCTTTTTTTTTCTCCTCTAGAATTTCTAATTTTTAATAAACAAATAAGTCCTTTCAACCCCCTTTTAACTCACTTTTATATCCTTTTATTGCTGTCTGTCATGAAAATGTTGGCTGAAGACTGAAGTTAGAAGTCTAAGATGATTGTAATCGATAAGAAAATTAGAGGTCTAAAACTACAAGACGGGTAAGTTGCGGGGGCCTATAAACTATTTCATGATATTGCCTATTAATCACCTTCAGAATCACGAGCAGTAGATCTAGAGCTAGATCTATTGGTTTGAATCTCATTTTTGCAATAAAAACACTGAATAGGTCTAGGCCCTAGATGTCTAGGGATGTGTTCAATCTCTATGGGAAGGATTTAGCACACAAAACTGAGTTCGTGATCAGCCACCCTAACCTTAGACGAAAGCTTCAGTCTCTATAATCGTCGGTTGTTCCACTGAGACTACGTCTGGCTCCACTAGACCTCCGGTTATAGATGGTATAGGCGATCGTTCAGTCTTTATATAACCGGAGGTCTAGTGGAGCCAGACGTAGACTCTACTCTAGTCTCAGTAGAACAACTGACGATTATAGAGACTGAAGCTTTCGGTCTACCCTAACCTTAGTTCACGCACGGGGGTTCACACTCATACTCATAGCTGATTTATTAAAAAATTTGATCCATCAAGGCATCAAAAATAAGGTCATTTCATAATTTGCGAGGCAATAAGCCAATATAGATCTAGACTAGTCTAGGTCTAGGCCTAGATCCTAGGCTAGAGTTAGACCGAAAGCTTCAGTCTCTATACCGTCGGTTGTTCCACTGAGACTACGTCTGGCTCCACTTACCTCGGTTATAGAGACTGAACGATCGCCTATGCCAGCCTATGTTGAAGATACAGTCTACGGGACGATACTGCCCTGACGCTAAGTTAAATCCTTTTTTGGTATTATCGCATGCACTTACATATACGATTGCCATTTATAATGAAACCACACATGATAAACATTAAGAAAATATGTACCTTGGACCTCTGCATATGAAATCTTCTTCAAAAAAGTGTTATTATCTCTTCCACTTGACTGTCTTCAGACGTCAGCCATCTTGAATCAAAGTAATGAATATTCATGACAAAGTTTTTTAGTCTCCACCCCATTGACCTCATTCATAGACGTGCGCGTACGTGCACGTACATCTCGCATTGGAAATGCATGGTGGATACTGGGTGTGTACCGTATGGGGCGCCAAGTGTTACCCTAGTTTTTCGGTATAAAATCACCTCATTTTGTTACAAAATTTGTACCGAGTTAATTTTGCTACAAAATGATTGTACCGAATTCATTTTGTTACAAAAGTTTTTAACAAAATAAAATGTTGTTACAAAATAAGTTTTTTTTGTCATTTTGTAATAAAAAATTGGGTACAAATCATTTTGTAACAAAATTAATTCGGTACAAATTTTGTAACAAAATGAGGTGATTTTATACCGAAAAACTAGGGTAACACTTGGCGCCCCACAGTACCGTGTGGTAACGGGTGCAGGTGGTGGTCAAATCAGGGAGATGAGAGTTTAAACTCTCTGGTCGACCTTTTCCTAATTAAGCGAACGTTAAGTACACAACCGTTAGGGTTTAAATTCAACAATCATGGCTGATCATTGGTGTTGTAATTGTGGTTGTGATTTGGTTTATGATTCAGAGAGACGTACTTTAAATGCTAAAATCAAAAATAAGAAATTTTCATCAGCAGATGCCCTTAAATCACTAGGAATAGAAATGACCCCTGTAAAGAAAAAGTAAATCTAATATGTCCCACGTGCTCCAACTTGATCGGCAAACTATCCGAGTCCGATGCAAATTTAAAGGAATAAAAAAAAACCTCAAAAAGATCACCAAAACACACACGTACGTGGATTGAAAATTAAAAGAGAAGAACGTTCACCACACTCGGCCTCTAAAATGAAAAGGAGAAAAACCAGCAACACGCCTGTCAAAGAGGAGACAATACACAAGACGGCCAAACACAGACTGGAACTTGTCACTCGGGACAGTCGAGGAAACGGGTAAGTTTGTACTTTACAGGGGCGGCGATCCCGGGGAGACGGGGGGGGGGGTAACACGTCTCCCCCCTCAATTTTTTATGGAAAATTTGAAAAAGTGCAAAAAAAAAATGTATAGCAAATACTGACTGAAGACTGCAACAATTTTTAGGCTCTGGAGGGCTACGCTCCCTCGCATAATATCCTTCAAAATGTACAAGAAGATATTGTAGAAAAGTGAAGGTGAACAAAATATATTGCTTGTTTTTATCACAATAGTTTTTTTTAATACAACAAAACTTCAAAAACTGTGAGGGGTAGTCACTTCCGTCACCTTCATCCCTATCGTTCACTGTGCTCCCTCGCGCTGGGTACTGATGCGGGACTTGGGGCAGTTACCCCCACACCCCCCCCCCAATAAAATGTAAGAATGGGTGGTGATGCGGATTTTTTTTCTGGCCCCCCCCCTAGACGTGGTTGGTCATTACGCCAATGCTCCCTCGTCCCTCGCATTTCGCCCCCCCCCCCCCCGTCATGAAAAGAAATCGCCGCCCATGGTATTCTCTATGTTTGTTTGTTTGTTGTTTGTTTATTTTTTTTTCACATTTAACTGACATGCTGGGGAAAATACATACATTCCTAGTTGTTCATTTCACAATCGATGGTATCGGCTTGATAAAGACATTCTCATAACCTAGGCGTGCGTACCTATCTTTTAGAATAAATCAAATCACCTCCTTTGTGGCGCGGTTGATTAGAAGTTGGACTGCGAACCACGAGAGTTTCAATTTCTACAGATTTCAGATATAGAATTTTACGAAGGAAGGACCGAGGCCCGAGATCTGGAAATTGTCTGACAAGGCCCCCCCCCCCCCCCCGTAAAAAAAATAAAATAAAAAAGAAGGGGAGAGAGCATCAGCATTTGGGGTGTTTATATAATTTTTTGCTGATAGGAAAAAATATTTACACTTTTATTTCTGAGGAGTCCGCAGAAATAAAAGTGTAGTACCTTTGGTGAAGAAAGGAAGAAAAAAAAACTACATGGACCTATAAGGCCGACGAAATTTGTATAAAAAGGTTTAAAACAAGATTTTGTTTATTTATTAAACATCTTAAACACTGGTCAGGTGGCAGGGGCGGCACTACAAAGGGGCAGGGGCGACCGCCTCCTTTGTGATTCTTTAAGTGATTAAAAAAAAAGAGGAGACCAAAAGTGGAGAAAGAAAAAAGAAAAGTATAGGGAAAAGAAGGCTGGGTCATGTAACCATTTTTGTCTTCTTCATTTACAATACAAATAAACTAACATATGGGTCATCTTGCCCCTCTATCAAAATGTCCTGGCACCGCCCTGCAAAGTATGCCCTGTACGCCCCTAACATATTTGTTGTAAATCATACCCATACCCCCACCACAGCCACACACAGACACACACCAACAAATGAAGTCTGTTTCCTGTTTACCTACAGTATACCTTTGAAGTTTGCAATTAATATGATTTAGGTAGGCCCTACACTCCTTTGTGTGCGTGTGTGTTTGTGGGAGGGGGCGGCAATTATATGATATTCCTTTTACATTTGCAATTAAAATCGATAATGAAAAGTTTCAACTTATGTAATTATATGTAAAACAATATCTGCAAAAACAATAATATTGTGCAACTTTTTATCATTATCCTTGCAGAAAAATTCCTTCCTTTCCCAGGCTGCAGGGCATCTCGAAGGTGGGCGTTATAAGAGGTCGCTGGAGAGCATGAAATCATCCAAGACTTACAACGACTTTATCATTGGATCAGTATGCAAGCAAATTCAAAAAGAGATGAAATCAAGTGGTCCCATATTCAACATTGATTCCCGCAATAAGACTAAGTCATTTGAAAGTTATTCCTGGAAAACCGCAAACAAAAGTTTAAAGAATAAATGTCCAACCCTCATGACCATTCTGGGAAGCACGGTGGAAAGAAAACTCAGCAAGAAGGATGATGTTCGGCTCACAATGATAGCAGCTCAATTGTTCTTCGTAAGATGTCCAGCAAAACACAAAGTCCTCCAAGAATTGATTGGACTCCTCCTGTGGTTTGCCGGCACCAACAGAAAGGTTACTGAAATTTTTCTTTTTCAAAAAAAAAAAAAATAAAAAATCATCCAATATTTATCTGATTATCCAGTCAAATTATATATCTAAAACTGAAAAAATTGCATGGCTCGAATACCAGGTTAAAATTTATTTGAAATCAAATAAGATCGTAGTATTTTGATTACTTCCCCCCCCCCCTCCAAAAAATAATAATGATGATAGATAAATGAATAAAAATGAAGGTAAAAAAAATATCACCAAATGCATTATTGTTCCGTCCATAAAAGGTATGAAGTTGGCATGACCAACAATAAGAATAATTATTCTTATTGTTATGTCCAATGCATGAAGTGGAAGCCATCTTTTTTGCTTGTCGAGAGCCACTGAACGTATTAAAATGGAAGGTATGCCCCCTGAACGGCGGGAGGGTGGAGCCCAAGAGCTTTTATGCATTTATAAATTAGAGGTTAACAAAATGCCACCGACGGGAATTTATAAGGGAGTTGCTAAAGTTTGTTTTGTTTGTTTTTTTTTGTTTATTTTCTTCTGCATTCGTAATAAGTACACAACTTGCAAAGTATACGTACTTTTCGAGAATGAATAATAGTTTAACAAATATATATAATAATTATTTTTGTAGACAAATCCAAAAGAGTAAAAAAAAAATTATATCAATTAATTATATTCCATCAAACATAGTGTATCTGCGGAAGAAGGACTGTCATTATAAGCAATTGGCTTGAAAACTCGTGAAACTCATAAAATATATAGACTAATGTGTTTATTGTGCAGAATAAAATAATAATAACAGTGAACATTTATAATGCGCCATGTCTGTCAAAAATGACACTCCTGAAAAAAAAAACGAAAACAAAAAGTTGTATGAGTGTGTGTGTCTGTAATTGGGTTTTTACAGACGTGTATCAATCAGATATTATTATCAGATATGATTATTTATGTCTGGCGACCGACCTTTAACGTCACCATCCGAAAGACGTGACTCGGAGCTCGAACCTCGGACCTCTGAATCAGTTTCTTACTTCCACATGTAGCTGGATTACAGGCGCACGCCATAACGCCCGGTTTGAATTTTTCTAAATTCTTTTTAAATCGTTCCGTGATTTATGCAAGGGGTGTGAGAATGGCTGCTGAAGGGAAATGGGCTTGAGAAACCTTTATTCTGCTAGTTATATGAAATGAGCATGAATTGTCACATATCTATATTACCAAAACAGTTAAGTGGTAGCGGCCGCCCGCGCACCCTTCCGCAGCCCCTCCTTGTCAGTTGCAATAAAATACATGTATTTCTATACCGTCTACGCCATTTTTTCACAGACGTTCCAGAGGCTCAACAGGCTTGGGATTTCTTCCGGTATCAAGGCTACCACAAAAACTATAGATGCGTTGAGATCTGAATTCGATGTCACAATTCACCAACAGCGACAGCGAATCACAGAGCTACAGTCAACAAGCCGAAAAGCAAAGAGGGAACTTTTCAGTGATGAGTGGGAGGATTTGACTGAATGGGTGAAAGGTAGGAAAAACAATTCTGAAATTGAAACAATCAATCAAAATTCATCCTATCTATTAGTTATTATAAGAGTTTGCACTGCTCTATTTGGAGTGGCACAGATATAGACTCCATGCAGCCTAGGGGCATTGGCTTTAATACTTGGAATCTAATCCGCATTTACAAGTTCCCTG